GTGTGTGTGTGTGTGTGTGTGTGTGTGTGTGTGTGTGTGTGTGTGTGTGTGGACGGGTTTTTCTTACAATGTGGGGTATTTTTTTTAACAAAAAAAAACAGCCTCGTGGGGACTGAAGGGAATCGTGGGGACCACTGCCAGGTCCCCACGGGTCCAAATGCGTGTTACGGGTGTGGGGTTAGGTTTAGGACCAAGGCGTATTGAGTTTAGGTCAGTTTTAGGGTCTGGTACGGTAGGTACCTGTGAGGTTAATTTTATGTCAGGGTTAGTCTATAAAATTTCAAAAAAAAAAATAAAAGAATGGATGTCAATCCACAGTCCCCACGGGGATATAAAAACCAGACGTGTGTGTGTGGAGGTTCTACCAGTTCGTTGCCACTTGCTATGGCCAAAGAGAGAGGAGAATGTCCACTCCAGAGTAGGTTTGTGCTGGCTCTGTGTGAGAGCAGGAGGTCCACCACTTTACAGGCATTCTGAAAAAATAAGTGTGGATTTGTGTTAAGTAATTGAAAAACTTTATGTTTAAAATAGCAATGTAAGATTTACATCCTCCTGATTCATTCAGATGTTTGAGCACTGACAGTAAATTGGTCTTGCAGGTACCAATAATCACACAGTTGTGCACATACCAAAAATAAATAAATAAATAAATAAATAAATAAATAAATAAAACTTTTTTTTTTTTTTGTTTGTTTCTGTATAAATGTAATTCCACTAAAAGTGACTGCCACCTAGTGTACAAAATGAATTTTGCATAAACATACAAGGATGGAGGTTTCTACACAGTTTGTTGTTGTTTACATTCTACAATAAAAAGTCCACGCAAGTTTCAAGTGTTATTTTTCAGCTCAAATCGCATGTAATCACAATTGTGTTTTAACAAGACGACACCTAGATGCTACACTCAAGGTTTTAAAAATAAAAGCTCATAAATAACTAAATGTCAAACAAAACAGCTTATAAATTCACTTTYATTTCTTGAACTGGTTGAGTTTTATTCATTTTTGTGTCTCAGATGTATTGAAATTAGATAAAACTGATCAAATCAGTCCTTAAAGCTGAATATATTTTAGGCTTATGCTTCACAGCTGTTCTGTAAAATAGCACTCACTGACCGTGTAATCGGTGTTTCTCTGACAGGCTATGTGCAGGGCAGTTCGGCCCCCCTCTTTAAGCTTTGGGTTCCTTGGTGGTTCCACAGCCATCACGGACTTCTGTAAAAGAAAAAAAACATTACGAGAACTCTTTTTCAGTGCCTCTTAAGCCACTGCATTAACAAAAAACGGGTCTATTATGCTGTAATGTGCAAATACACACACCCTGTCTGGTTCATAGATCTCATCCTGGTCACATGCCTGCACGTCTGGRTCAATGGCAGAATGCAGAAGAAGCTCTGTGATGATGGGACCTTCTGGACCTGGCAGCATGGCAGCCACATGCAGAGGGTACAAGCCTTTTTTCTGAAAAAAAAAAAAAACAAAAAAACGATGAGATATTAAAATGATTTTTAATACTCGTGAATGATTGACGAGAGACGTTAAAGAATATTTTTTGTTTGGGTTAGGATTTATCTTCTTATTGCATACATCCACCTCAATACATTGACTTTAGCTAAAATAGCTAAATCTTTTGGAGTGCTGTATAAAGTAAGGGAGTTATTCAGTGATAAAGCTCTGTTTATATTATATAATACAATAATTGTTCCACACTTGTTATACTGGATTGAAGTCTGGGGTAAAGCATGTAAAACAATCACAAATCCTATTTTCATTTTACAAAAAAGAGTCATAAGAATTATCACCAGAAAAGATTACAGTCACTTCGAATATATTATTTTGTAAATTAAAATTATTAAAATTTTAAGAGTTGGATGA